CAGAGGAAAATTGTCCCCTACAGGGATTTCTAAGGCTATAATCTTTACAAAAGCAGAGTGTTACATATTTCTGCCGTGGAACAGCTGGTGGGTTTGAACTTGCCAACCTATCGGTTAGCAACCGAACTCTTAACCATTACACCTGTCTTAAGCAGTAAACCAATGAGAGAAGTTGACAAAGATGACCTTGAGGCATAAAGTAAATTTTAAGTAAAGTTGACCATTGTTTACTTAAGCACCAAACCTAACCCGACTGCACTATTTAGTGATCCTATAGAAAGTTTCTGAGCTGTAAATCTTTACCGGAGCGGAGAGCTTCCCCCCTCAGAGCAGCTGGTGGGTTCTAACTGCTGAGCTACCGTGAGCCTCCAATGAGCAACACCCTACAGCATGAGGACTCTTTTTACTTACACACAGAGGCATGTAAAATATTCCCTTAAACAGGATAGATAACAGCTATCTTTTATTGAGAATTTCACTATATCTGCCTATAATATAATAAGAGCTTTATATATTATGTAACTTAAACTTTCATAACAATTCTATGGTATTATTCATATTATTATGGTATTTTATAGGTAAGAAACGGGCTGAGAGAAATTATATAGCAGGGTCTTTCTGAATCCACATCTTTTTTTTCCTAATCATTTTATTAGGGGCTCATACAATTCTTATCACAATCCATACCTGAATCCACATCTTGTACACTTAACCACTGTGCTATTCATTACTTTAAGTGCTGTTGATTCAAGAATTAAAGTTTAGTTATTTGGAAATGTCAGGTACGTGGAACAGCTCCCATCACCTCCTGAAGGATCTGAGATCAGGGTGTTAATTAATTGTCTTCAGTAACAGATTGAACTTGGACGTAAATTTTGGGCTTTTTCAGCTCATGCCTTACTTGGTTCTGGACATCCTTCAAGATTACCCAGGACTTCCTGGACTCTTTGTGGCCTGCGCTTACAGTGGAACACTAAGGTAGGAACTAGAATTCCTATTGGTATTGCTATTGAAATCGTTCCTCTTTTTTTTTTTTTTAAATTGGATATGGAGATTTGGTGGCTAATGGTTACATATTGGGCTGCTCATCAAAAGGTCAGCAGTTTGAAACCACCAGTGACTCTCTGGGAGAAAGATGGGACTTTCTACTCCTGTAAAGAGTTATAGCCTCTCTCAGAAACCTACAGGGGCAGCTCTACCCTGTCCTGTTAAGATCACTATGAGCTGTAATTGGCTCGATGGAATGAGTATGGGTTTTTTGGTGTGTGTGTGTTTAGTTTAGCCATTGTTTCATCAAGGTTTATTGATGATTCCAGGCATTAGGTTTAGGGTTTCCTCCAGCTTTAATGGCTCTACTAAGTCTGGTTTCTATGAATTTGAAGTTGTCTTCAACACTTTCCCTCATTTTGATAAAAAGTTGTCTAGTGCGTTCTTGATAAAAATGCTCAGTAATATAGTCAAGTTTTATCTCATTGATCCCATTAGATTTGCATGTGTTTGCATAGATTTGTCAGTTCATTTGCATATTTAGGCTTGGTAAGTACATGAAGGCCAAGATGGATGACCCCTCAGAGACTGTGACATGAGTGGGGGTTCCCTGAGAGTAAAGGAGGAGGGAGGGGGGAAAGAGGAGAAAAAGAATAGTATCGATGTTTAAATAACCCCATGCAATGGTATTGAACAACAGAATTGTATGTGAATATATATTTCAATATGTAAGATATGTCAATAAAACTATTATTTTTTTAAAAATGCTCAATAATGTTGGTTGGGCACCATCTATTTCTCTTGGTCTCATGGAAGTGTCTCTCTTAAATGTTCTTGAAGTTGAAATATTTTCTTTTTTTTTTTTTTTTGAAATATTTTCAATCACAAGCTTTGTTACTCATTACAGCACAGTGTCCTCCAGTATAAATGCCTTAGCAGCAGTCACTGTGGAAGATCTCATCAAACCTCGCTTCAGATCCCTCTCAGAAAAGTCTCTGTCTTGGATTTCCCAAGGAACAAGTATGTTCCTGTTTCTACGATGTTATATTTAATTCAGAGTGATAACTTTTAGAAATGCAATATTAAGTAAGAACTTTTGGATGCATATGCGTATTCACACATACGTATCTATGACAATACAGATGACCATATTTGTAACCAACTATTTGGGAGAGACTTCAGACAATTAATTGCCAGTGGGGACAAGTCTCCTATTTAGCTGTCCTACCTTTCTACCTTATTCCTATCCCAAATCTATGTGGAAATTCTCTCTCTCTCTCTCACACACACACACACACACACACACACACACACACACACACCACCACCAACCCTCTTCTTTTTCAACTTTGGTCTATGATCCTGAGAAATACCCTTAGATCAGAAGAAAGACCCACACTTTTTCTTTATCACCATGAATTCGGGTACAAGATATGTGTGCCTGAACTGACGATAAAGAGATAGAGCGGTAGGATTTTTTACTCCTGGGTATTGTCTGTTGTTTCTCTTATAAAAAATATCTGGGAGAGAGTCCTTAGGGAAAGCTCAATTTTTGTTCTTACATTGAAAACCTTGTTAGACATTAAATGCCAGGGCAATGGAAAGGTTTAAGGGTCTCCAGTTCCCAGATGCCCCAACTGCAATATCTGACTCAAGGAAATTCAACTAGTATATTTACTTGTTTCTTCATTTTCACAGCTTGCATATAGGTGTATTTCAAAAAATGACTAACAAATTCATTTCTGGGAAAAAAATCTTTAACCTTAGCACAAAAACACTAGTAGACTGTCAAAGAAATAGTAAGTGATACTCTGTTTTGAACCATATATCTATTATCCTGGCCATGGGTGTGATCTGGAATAAGCACTTACTTTATATATATATTTTTGTTTTGTTTTGTTTGTTTTTTATTAGTTATATACAGCTCTTTTTTTTTT